GGGAAGACACCGAGCCCGGCGGCCAGTGCGTCAGCAGCGTGGGCAGTGCTGGGGTGCGGAGCCGAAGGAGCGCGTGGGCAAGCGGGACGGCGTGCCAGGGGCGTGGGGCGGATGCCAGCCGCTCTCCTCTGCGCGAGCAAAGCCCTGCTGCTGGCCACCAAGAAGAAAGCCTTCCTTCAGGTGTAAAGCTGTGGGGGACATGTAAGCTCTGCCCTTTCCAGCTGTCCAGGAAGGACGGGGTTTTGAAACAACAGCTGCTCTCAAGACAACAAAGTCTCCCTGTTCTCTCTGATGAATTCACATGAAAATGCTTAAAACCAGACCCAGCCTTCCCCGCGGGCAGGGAGCGAATGGCATCTACAGGGCCCGAATGCAGCAAGCACGGCATTTCTGCAGCGGTCCGCGCCGGGGGAAGGCAGCGTCCTCGCTCTCCAGGGCAGGGCCTGGATGCCCGTTCATCAGCAAGCTCAATTCTTAAGTGTTTCAAGGCTAATTAATCCCTGCTGCAACATTCACACAACGGAGGAGCAGAAACATCACGCAACGCAGGCGAGCTGGCACAACCCGGAGAGGAAAGCAAGCCGTCGGCGCCAGCCTGTACGCCGAAACCAGCTCACTTTGCTGAAATTCTGCAGTAGCTATCCGAAAAATAAACACCGCACCTGAAATCCAAGACCTTCTGCATGGTCACTAGGTACTTTGTATATTTTCAGCAAATAGTTTGCAAATAAACATATCCCAGAACTAATCCTTCTGTGTCTTCCTTATAGCAAAGAGTCGGACGCACGCGTAGGAATTCGCTGCTTGAAAACACTGACACGAGTCTCTTTTCTTCACTCCTCTTTGGCCGCACAGCGATACTCCACCTTGCTTTTTTGAAGATTAGGCTTCAATTGCCCAAGATTTCAAAGACCTCAGCCTGCTGTTTGGCTTCCCTGAAAGAGGAGGAAAGTGCTGCTTTTTGGAGCCGGCGAGCGGTGAGAGAGCATTCAGGCTATCGAGTATAACTTCTCCCGCACATAATTCCAAAATAATCCAAGTGAGGTCAGTGAAATTACTTGGGTTTTCATCACTTTCCCCGAGACCAGAATTTCCTCCTCCCTCTATGAGCAAACAAATTATGAATATTTTCCAGCAGAACACCATGAATTGAAAAATACAGCAATTAAAAATAGTTCTAGTGACAGCTCCCTGACACTGGGGAAGAATGCTTTGAGGGAAAGAAAGCAGATATTTAGCATCGGCTGGCTGCCATTCAAACCTTTTCAGCTATTCAAATCCATGAAACGAAACCCAAAGAAATTATATCTGGATTTCAGTTTGAGACACATGATACTGAACAATACCGATTAGGACGTATGAGATGGGCGTCTTCTAGTGACAAAACTGGGGGAAAAACCCTTCCAACCTTCAGTTGTTCCAGTTTCCAGCCAAGTCTAAAACTCGATCGCTGCACGAGCGGTTTGCAAGGAGGAAAACTTGAGACGTAATTCTCAAAGACAGATGGGCATAGCTGTAAGAGAAAAGTGGGATCTTAGAGTAAATACAGTTTTTTCCCCCACCACAGAATTCAGTGAACAGAGCACGAGCAAAATCCAAATGACCCATCCAAGCTAAACTCTCCAGCAAAAAAAATCTACCTTTGATCTCCGGGCTGAGCGCTTGGCCCTGGCGCGGCGGTGGCAAGCCTCCCATTGCCTCCGAGAGCCAGGACCGCATCCAGCCCCTTCCTAGGTAATCGTGTGTCAACATTTCCACGGCACGCCTGGCTGCCTGTCAGCCAGCTCGTTAGAAAATTCCTGCAGACTGACACTGACGTTTTAAGTTTTT